CCAGCCTAAGAGCAATGGCCTCCAACCTAAGAGCGATGGCCTCCAACCTAAGAGCGATGTCTTTATATTCTAACTGCATGTGGTCTCCAGCCTCCCCCAGGCTTTATGTAAAACCATATTCTAACTGCATATAAACAAAAAAACGTATTCTAACTGTCAGTCCGCCATAGTAGCTGGTTGGTGGTTTCAACCCACAAATAGGAACAACTAGTATATTGAATTGATACTTCAATCACTTCAATAAATCCTTAATCATTGGGCCTTAAAGTGATCATAATACAACTTCATAATAATACACCATATACTTTCTTTAAAGCCGATCATTGGGCATGCCTCCACCGAAGCTCTCACGTCGCCGCACGAAGCCCGACGTCGGTCGGGTCGGTCGTTCCGGGTGGCTGGATATGGAAGAGCTCCCGCCAGTAGCGTAGAGACAAGCACATCCAAAGCATGGCCATGGCGATATAAACCTCAGCCATGGCGACCAAAAGAGCCACTCGATTGTCGATCTTTTTGGGATCTTCGTATCTTCACTGAGTACAGGCGAGGCTTTGGCAGCAGTTTGATGGACCGCTGGTCTAGGTCTCCACAAATTGGACTAGAAACCCTTTGTCTTTGCATCTAGGCAGTCTGTTCACCTGCTGGTAGAAGGAGCAGGGATCATAGTGTATCCCTAAAACTACCGCTGTGAGGCGATTGAGGCCATATCCAAATGAGTTGAAGAATCGTGGAAACCTTGCATCAATCAACGTCGCGCACTCGCTGAATTTCAGGCGAGTTCTTGGTTCAAATATAGTATCTCCAACATTCTCCAACCAAATCGAAGAAGGTACAGTATCATCAGTATGGGTGGATCTTGAGGGGCGGGGGAGCCATACCTTCCCAACGAGGAGTTTAGTCCTCAGGATGGAACAATCGCCAGCCAGCCATAGAAGGGCATCTTGTGATACCTCAGCCATGCAAAACGAAGCTCCTTCCAGTGTCCAGCTCGGCCCGTGTGTTCTCATGAGAGCTCACCAGCAGTAAGCGGGGGATGTGTAGATCCCCAGCTCATCCAGTGGAAGGCGTGCGCTCCAGCAGCCTCTCCCCATCTGTTTCTGATGGACAACAACATCATGCATCTTCCCCTTAAAGGCCCGTTATGGATGAGTATATAAGCGAAAGATTGGAGGGTTCCCATGATTTTAAGAAAGCAAGCCCATCAAGATTGCCAGTGCCTGTCTCTAATTACTCTAGAGACTTTAGACTTTCTTTGGGCTTTCCTTGTTCAAGATTACAACATCGCTTCTCGCAATGAGACCCACAAGCCAGGTTCATCAACGTCGAGTTCGCCAAGCTCCCCCATTCAAGTCATGATACTCGTTGCCGGGCAGAAAGCCATAGGAATTCTTTGCAATGACACTGCCACTGACCTCGTCATTTCAACATCTAATTCTTGCACACGGCCCAAAAAGCTGATTTTTTGGCCAACCCTCTCACCAGCATCAACAAAAAAGAAACGACAGTCTCGAGGCGGACTCGTCACTGTTGCGGTTGTAGACGGGGTAAATGGGACGAAGCGTGGGGTGTTGGGGAGGTATATAGACTGTAGAGGGGTCAGGACGCCAAAGATGTCCATGCGACTTGATTCCGAAACTGCGTTGGATTTCAGGGGGTGATGTAATTTTTTGGCCCGGCCTGACATGTTCGAATCAGCGTTCGTCAGCAACATCAGACTTGAATCTGTTTGACCTGGTTGTGTTTATGGTTTCCTGAGGCATTGCCATACCATGATATACTGGAATGTAGAGGAACAGCGTCGTCGGTGTAGCCTGACCTCTTCAGAGCGATAAAACCCGGCATGGACTTTCGCTGGGGTGGTCCCCATCAGACGGTTCAAAGCACGCTCAGGGCCAAGTGAAATGACTCAAATCCACAAGGTCCAGTGGCCAACTTGCAGTATTCAATGCGTGCTCGAAAAATGCATCACTGGCATCAGCACTGGCACTGGAAGTTTGTGTAGGTACTGTGTATTGTTAAAAATAGAAATACAAAATAAAAAAACAACAATAAAGCACAGCGCCTCCTTTTGGCTGCTCTTGCCAAACCCAGTTTCAGGTGATTGATTTCATGTTTCCCTTTTCCAGGGTGGCCAACCCCCCCCCACCCCAAATCTGCCTCGCCATCCTTGAATTCACCACAGTTGGAGAACCTTGGATCAAACCGCAAACCCTGTCGAAGTCTCTGAACACGCCACAAAGCTGTGACAACGTCGATGTTTGAGGATTCCACGGTGATTCACCTTTTGGACAGAAATCGGACGCACACGGTGACTGGGAACAATGACTTGAAAGCCAAGGTTATGTGTATGACTTTCACCCGGATTCCACAAGGTCAGCATCAACCCGCACCGTAAAGCATTGAAAGGGGGAACGGCAACAATTGAGACGCGGTGGATCCGTTGAACACCAAAAGAACAACCGTGCTCGCTCCCAAAGCACCTGGTTTACCACGTACCACCAACCCAAAAGAATGAGTTCTGAATACCAATGACCAATGATGGAGGTACAGTAGGTGGTTTATCATTGGTAGGTGGTAAAATCTCATGGTTTTTCTACCAATTACTTAGTTCTATAACAAACCCATACAATTGGTGTCGAATGGTTACGCTCACAAGCAGGGAGGGTAGTGGAGACCTTCGAACAAATGGTCCATGTCAGTTCTCAGAATTTGGCTGCACTTCCTGGGCCAAGTTGTCGAAGCCAAAAGGCACTAGGATGTACACGCCTGTCGAGTGCACAGGTACCTGCAATCAGCGTGGTAGTATGAAGCAAAATATCACAAAACAACTTTCTTTCTTAAGTCCTATTTTATATTATAATAAGTACCAATTGAGTATTACTATCCAAATGAATTCGCTGGGAAATCAAATTGAGAGTGCTGATTTCGGTCGTTCGCCGAAGCTTTCGCGCCTGGTGATCCGAGGAGGATCCATAGGTCACCGTGTGCGAGTACCTGACGCATCGGACGCTACGAGCGGAGCGTCAAGGGCATCGCTACTAGTAACACCTCCCCAGCAAAGGGTTGGAGGCCAATCCCTCTAGCTTAATATGGAGACCCCTGTTTCACACAACATATTGATATCCTGGCTTTAATTGGCTCCCTCCTGAGCAAAAGCTAGCTCTAACCCACTCTCTAACCCTGTAGACTTCACCTGGGTGCGTTCAATTAGGGGGACCCTCCAACCAATGGAATTCCTCTGATGTCATCGTCTCTGGGCAGTCTCCCCCCCATTAGAGTACATATCCACATGATACCAACCATCCCAACCTGCAACTGCCAAGTTCACCACCGCCCAGTTCGCCACTGCTTCTTGGGGCGCAAGTTCACGCTCTCATCACTTTCCCCAGGGGCTTTGTGGGCCAACCTGCGCCAGTGGACCCACGGCACGAGCTGGGGAGGAGGCCGTTTGGTTGTCGTGATGCTCATGTGATCACGTCAACATCGATGCCGGTCCATCCATCGTGTTCTCATGGACTCTGGACTGAATCCAGCTTTATCATGACACTGGCCCAAAGGCCACATGAGTTGAATCGATGGCAGTTCTCGCCAATGGAGTTGAATCGACCATGCTGTCAACCGGAATGTAAATGTCATGAATGTTCAGATTCATGGTGAACATCTTAGAGAAAATCAAAAGGGTCTGTGAGCCAATCCACATCGCACCACCCAGAAATGAAGCGGCCACTCGCCGATTGCACCCAAATTGACCAAACCAACCACAAAGGTCGTTTCCACCTAAGCCGAAGCTTCAAACAAGCCGAAGCTGCAGCTTGCCGTCTTCCTTTGCTATCCCCTGCGCGACCTGCGCCGATTTGGTCACAGGATGAGGGGAAGAACCGCTGAATATCTTTGACCCAGAAAAGAACCAAAGTATACCAATTCACTCTTTCAGACCCATTCCCGCTCTGACGCAGATGGTCGACCCAGATGGTCTGACGAGGATTCCAAAGGAACTGAACTTGTTCAGGATTCCCGGCGCCGGGCCCGAGCTCCCCCAGAGCTTGATCTCTGTATCAGAGTCTAAGACTGGAATCCGGACGTCCTACCAGGTCCGTCCGAGTCGTCTTGTGAGTCAGCTGGGCGGTGGTGTGACAGTCAGGTACCATCAACAAGTGGTCCAACCCCCCAAAAAAAACACCCCAAACACCTCCGGGATCGCAGTGATCCCGTCGGCTTCGTTCCCGCCGCTGGGACCGCAGGCATCTTCGCGCGAGGAGCAGAACTTGTCCCTTCGCTGGCGACCGAATGCGGCGGCGAAGATGCGAGATGCGGTGGAGAAGCGGTGGCGAGAAAGGGGGAAGAGAGGTTTAAGGATTTCTGCTTCACAATGTCAAAGCAAAAGCAATGGAACATGTATAGCATGAAATATGTTGTTAAAATCGGGGTCCGCCTTCTTGAGACCGTGGGAAAAGAATAACTTGTCTAGATGTCATATGATTTCATGCAATATTGTATATAGTATTACCAATCCCAAGATGTTTAATGACATGGTAAATTAGGTCACGCATCGCCCAGCAACTCCATGCTGCATCTCCTCGGCATGATAATATCACCAATCAACACCACCACAAGCAAACACGGTCAATCTTTTGAATTACACTTGTTACATCTACGGGACAGTAAATCAGCCAACCGTGGCCAAAACATGTCATGGTCAATGGTCAAAAACTCCGCAACATCTTACAGTATGGTGGACGAACCCTTCTTAGCAGGACTTCTGTTTCTTTGCTGCACAACCCAGAGGGACACTTTTTCTCAAATCGAATCTTTCAAATCGCGGTTTCAGCGATCGGTTTCAGCTGGTCCTGTCGTCGTCGCCGCGGGTCCCGGTAGTCGTGGGCCCGGACACCGACCACGCACGACGTCCGCGGTCCGGGCGTCCCGGGCGGCTGGATGAGAGTCCAAAAGCTGCGGTATGGGAGGATGCTGAGCTGGATGCCCTCGGCGGCGCGGAGGTGCGCAGGCGCGGTCCTTTTTTTGGGGGTGCACAAAATGGGATTCTGAGGTGAACAGTGCTTTGTGGATCTTTATGGATCTTTTAGTTTGGGAATCTATCTTCAGCTCTTTCGACTTCTCTGAGGCCCTCGTCCCATCCCACCCTCTGAGGTTTGGTCATCCTCTGAGGCCCCAGCGCCGTAGTTCTTCGCCTTCTCGCTGTCTGCAGGGTTATTAGCTGTAAACCTCAGGTGACGCAGCGAATCAAAACGAGAACTGTTGCAATTTCTCCAATCAGACCGAAATGGCCACCGCGCAGTACAAACTAGGCCCTAGGCTCGAACTCGTCTCACGAGGGTTGTATCATCACCAAAGATTTTTGAGCTCCAATTTGGAACCCATTTGGGTGATCCAAATTTTCTCACCGATGCCAGCCCAGGGCTGCCAGCGGATGGTCTCGCGGTCTCGAGGTCTTGGTCGCAGGCATCAAGTTGTGAAACTGCACAAATGGTTGCCCAAGCGTCCTAGGATGGTTGTGCAGCGCAGGAAGAATGCTGAATCCATGGAAGGAGGATTTGATGAGTTTCTCGTGGGCAAAAGGCATGGATCAACCACACTGGAAACAGCACATGATCCTCGAATCCTGAAAAAAAACAAAACATCATCTTGATTCCGTATGATTCCGTATGCGTGAATCACCTGTCATCTTGATTCCGGATGTTGATGCAGGCCTTTTTGTTCTGAAGCCATTCAAGCAGCTGAAGCCATTCAAGCAGTTCAATTCAGTTCAATGAATGAACCAGGGTGACTGACTCTGGAAAGGCAAGCACGGGTCACGGTTTTTTTGTCTCCCTCTCTCTCTCTCTCTGCAGACTCTATCTCCACATTTTTTCCTGACAGCCTCTCAGCAAACAATATGCCCCGTGGTGCCTGTCAAGTCAAATGGGTTGTTCATAGTTGCGATATCGATTGGTATAGCTAGGTTCCTCATTTGATGACTTGGGTCATCATGGTCAGGGCTGAGAAGGAACTGCAGTTTCGGGCACCAGTTTCCTCTGGTCTACTACGGCATTTTAGGGATGGACTGCCTTCAAGAAATACAGTACCATCCTCGGCAAACATCAGCCATGACCATGTCATCCCATGTCAAACGGATGAATCGCCACACAAGCGCTTTAAAGCCCCATCGGACAGCCACACCAGCCACACCAGCCGGACCAGCCAGTCCTCTCTGGAGCGTCTTGGTGCGAATAGACCTCGTGGCTTCATCTCAGGTCATTGCGTTTTTTCGAACCCCCATTCGCAAGATGGCGACCCCCATTCGTGCACTTTCAACCATCCAAAAAGATCCAAATGATTGCAGTTAAGTTGTATGATTGAATTACAGCTTGCTTCAGCACCTGTTTTAGGAATCGTTGACCACCCCTAGATCATAGATCCCCGACGGATGCAAACACGACGGCCATAACTACCTGCACCTGTCAGGTCTTGCTGTGGAGTAGTCTGTCTTGCTAAAACGCCACCAAAACAGAAGGGGGACACCTCCTTGGACCCAACTAATATTTTTACTATACTAGACTGCCACTACCGAGTGCACCGAGGCGTACTGGCCAACTACGGCTCGCCGTAGACCCCGAACTTGGCCGTGAGGCATAGAAGGCATACAAGGTATGCAGCGACCGTGCGTCAGGCAAGGCCATCTGGCGATCGTGGGGCGTACGAAGGCGTGGCGGCCAAGGCCGCCTCCTTGTGGAAAGTGGAACACCTTGCCTTTCATACCTGTTTGGGTCATTGCAAAAAAAACACATGCAATCTGTTTGACACGGCTCTAGGCCTTGTAGAACGATCCCTTGACATCCCTTGACGATGCTTTTTCTATATAATATGGCCCCGGTATGGCCGTTTGGCTGATGGCTCACTGGGATAGAGCCAAGCGCGGCACTTCACATGCACCAAATAATTGTGTGGTTCTCCTAACAACTGTGAATCCGTTCATGCAATGTGTAGCTCCCCTAGCTGAGCTGCTTGGGTGCCTTCTCAAATGAGTAGATCTGAGCTTCTGTACACCTGGCAAGCTTGGCAAAAGGGCCGAAAGAAGGCGAAACTATTGAGGTGCAAGGCTTCTAATGAGGAGACAGTGGAGGCATTGGTGGGATGGATTTGTCATATGTGCAAAACAAAGGTTTCACCAATTTTTTCTAGATTATTTTTGATTGATCGCTGTCTTGCATTTTGGGCTTTTGCTGCAATTCCAATAAAACTTGTCAATCAACTTGTTTCCATACTTGCCCTGTCGCACTCATGTCACCACTGTTCCCAAGGGTGTTGTGAAAAAACACATCAACAACCTTCATAAAGCACTTACCGTCAGCCTGCCAATCATTACAGCAGCGGCCACATGTGTTTCCTGGATTCAAATGTTAATTCTAAGGCCAACCAGCAATGCAGGAATCGAATCAGTTTGACCACCTGGTTTAGGCCATCTTGCTTTGTTGTCGATATATCTCTGCAAGGGAAACGTGCCGCCCCCCTAAACTACCAAACATCATGCTCCTGTCTTGCAGAATGTTGCATGACGACGACTGTTGGCCAAAACCCATTGTCTTTATCAGCTGGTGGAACAGGGACCACACATCGACAAAAAGAACGCCTCTCAATCACACCAAGTGAACAAGGCTCCCTGTGGTCATATCTATGCATCATAGATGAACAAACACATGATTCACATGATCTTAAAGTAGCTTAAAGTTTAATGTATTGATTGTCTGAAAAAATGATTCACGAACCCTTGAGTGCTTCATGCAGCAGAACGATCATGTTCAAAGCACTCCGTGTCGCTCGGCCCCTGAGACATCGACCTGAAACAAAGCAGTGCCGCGAGACATCGCCACATGCACCACCGCCCTTGGAGACACCGCGAGACATCCATGCGGTGCCGCGAATGGAAAGGTCAACACGATCCATGCCGGAAAGGTCACAAGGCCAACTCTATCGGACTCTATCGCCCCAACTTGGGCTCCTGAGATATTGAATTACCTTCATTGGTATCTGCCAGCTCCCACATCCGAGGCCCACACGGCCCATGGCACCGGGTCCGCGCGAACCCGGCCACCCCCGGCCGAACCGGGCGCAAAAGGACCCACGGGGCGCCAGGCCCGAAAGTGATCCTCAACCCTGCGGTGTCCAACTCACAATGAACATTGGAAGTCTAACACATTGAATTGGAATCGACGCATTCTCAAGGGACTTGTGACTCATCACTGTCCTTATTATGTTCAGTCAAGACAAGGAATACTTCGTTGCCTGCCTGCACTACAAGTAATTGCGTACTATTTATCCTTAATTAGCTATAGTACACATCTGGTCAACTTGCACCAAACGCATCAAAAGCTCTCACCATTTGCCGAAACGACCAGCATAGTTTTTCCTCACACCGATCCGACCAGCTCTTTTCAATCGATCTTTCGGTCGCCAACATGTCACGGCAGTCTTTGGCCGTCGAGAGAGGCAGGGTTTGGCAATCGGGTGGCGGTGGCGGTTCTTTAGGTTGCAAACCGGGTCGAATGCATAACGTTTTGTTAAACCAGTTGAGCTTGTTGGCCAAACCTTTTGTGGCAACACCGGGTCGAATGTGTATATGCATGTTAAAGTTAAAACTGCCCCCCCCAAAAAAGCAATGGAACCGAAAAAAGCTAATCCTCCTCGTTGTCATGGAAGATAAGGAAGGATGCCCATCTGCCAAACCAAACCTCTGCTACCCATCTGTCTTGGATCCTTCGACCTGGCGGCGTTGGCAGGCTGAAGACAAATTGTCGCCGCTTCCTTTTTTTTTGGGGGGGGGTGATCTGTTTACAGCCTGAGCGACAAAGACCAAGACCCTATGAGAGGTCTGACAACAACTTGACTTTAAGTGATTCTGAGTCTGTAGTGACAATGCACACAAACAATAATAAATATATAATTCATATCATATTGACATATTTTATAACTAATTTGACATCATTGGTGCAAAAGCATAGTCAACAGCCGTGGGCCGTGATCATTTTACGTGACGAAAGGTGCACAGTCAGTCATCGATCGTTATCACATTTGATCTGGAACAACACAACACTTGAGTTCATGAAATAGACGTTCTCTAGCATGGAATGTATTTCAACGAATGTTTGAAGGGGATTCACTTTCAAATTTAAAGAGTACTGAGTACCAAATGAGTCAGGAGTAGAGACATGGTTGCACTGGTTCGGGACTTAAACACGATCTGGTTCGGCAAGGTGTTGTTCGGACTTGGAAACCCAAAGAGTCGGTTCTTGCCTCCACAAACGACAAGCTCCTAGGGCAACCGTCCCAAATTGTCATGGGTGGTCTCACCAGCGACCATACGATAGATGTTAATATAATTGAACCAATACTCCAACAAATCAGCTACGGGCTACCGATCACCATTGTGTCAAGGCACTTGGATTTTTCACTGTGAAACTCCAGCACCTATGGGGTTGCGTACCAGAAATGTGCAATCCTAGCCCGTTGGCCCGCGCCTGCTTTGGGTCTTCGCGCGAGGCGGCCGTTGCCGAGAAGGTGTTGGCCAACAACCTGAGTTTGGTGGGTGATGCAGTGAACATACACTAAATAAAAAGATCACATCTGTTAGTGCAATACTCTGTGGGCCTAAAGGTCATCAAAATCAAGAAGAGCAGTTGCATGTCGACAGAACTGTCCAACATTCTGGTGCAATTTCCCTCTCTCAGGACTCAGGTTTGTGCTTGGAAGAAGTGCGAAACAAAAAAATACAGGACGTGTTGCCACTCTCTGATCAAGCAAACACCCTTGTATCAGTCAAAATGTTATTTGATTCTTCTCCTTTCCACGACACATTGATGGTGACCAAGATTCTGACCAACTCGATAGGTCCAGTGAAAACAATTTGCATCAATTTGTAATACAACATACCAATTAATTACTGGGTCTTGACAAACCATGTTGACTGAGAGGGTTGCATTTCTTTGTCGAACTCATTGTCGCAAAGTCTTGCTTTGTCGACCTGCATCATTCGATGGACGTCCGGAAAGTTGTGGGTCGGTGCTTTTTTGTCTACATCTTTTTGGTGAGAAGAGTCTTGCGTCAGTAAGATGAAAAGGAACCAACATCCCCTTGTTAAAACAACCACAACAACACCTTCAGCAGCAGCCAGCAGCATCAGCAGCACCACCAATACAAAACCACTAGCAGCAGCAACACCAACAACATCCAACAACACTAGGAACAAGAAACGAAGACCAAGGAGATCCAAGAGTAACAAGTTGTTCTTTTGTGAAAAAGCCGGGGGGGGCGCCCGGCATTGTTTAGAACCTCCTTCTCCCCCTGAGTGCTGACAACAACCCAAGAAGCAGCAAAAGTACAGCTAACTAGCTTAGGCGTTTTTCTTGTAAAGTGCTTGGTACGAGCCTCTGGGCACAGCGCACGCTTAGAGAATGCCGAGAATGCTCTGCCACTCTCTCTGTTTCAGCCAAGAGTCTGCCCTAATTACTTGCTCCTTTCATACAACTGGGTTCAAAGATAGAATGATGCAAGCACGGGTCACACCAAACCAACCAACCATGTCTAAGCAAAGGATCAACCAACCAATCAATCACCTGAGCCTCACCATCTTGAATCAACCCCCGCTCAGTAACACCACAAAGCCAGGCATGGCCCTCCAAAAGCCAGGGCTCTTGCTGAAAAGCCCGTGCCAATCTAAGGCAACCACAAAACCTTGACGACCCTTCATGGAAAGATGTGAGTAATATAATGTGATATATGTCATTGCACTGCAGCCCATCCTGCTCCAGGTTTGGAGCCACATGGCATGTTGATAAACTAAAGGCGTGACTTGATTCCAAGTCCAATCAAGCAAAGCATGTTAAAACACGCTATATTGTGTGGTGCAAATTATTGTTTTGCAATGAATTTTGATCTTAAACGATCCCAAACCAATACCCAACCGAGCGAATATGTCCATCAAATTTGGTCATACAAGTACCTCATATGATCCTCAAACTTGTAAACCAAGATATATAACTCATCTACTTCGGTCAAGGCGCCCTTGCAGCATTTTTGTTAAAGCCCCGAACATCGGAAGACTTTACGAAACAAAATGAACAAAAAGGGAACTCTCTTAACAACTGGGGAACCTCCACATCTTACCCTTCATGACCCTTCTGGCCTTGCGTGCTTGTTCGCGCACCTGAGCCAAGTTCCAGCTGCCATGCTGGCCCCGTCCGTTCGTTTGCCCGTTTGGTCAGGTCGTTTGGTTCGAAGCACACAAGACGTTGGGAAGCTATGGTTCCAACAAATGCAGGACCTGTCGAAATGATCTCGTGAAGCAACACACATGATCATCACGATCCTCCTTGCAGCAACCAATACTGTCGACATGTGGTGATGGTTGCAAATTGTGGCAAACCTCCTCAAACTCCTTTTGTTTTGAATCATAAACACATGAAGAACCAAAAAACAGTGAAACACAGCATCAAACACCATTGTGGCAATCCTCCAGTCTCTGTGTTTCCATCGGTATCCACCGGGTCTCCAGGCCCCATCCACCCGCTCACGCTGCGCCCGTTGGGCCTGGGCGGCCTATAGACGCGGGCGCGCAAGCGCGAAGCGAAGTGGATGGTGGTTGGTTGGTTTCAACCTGTGTTCAACTCACAGAAAAGCAATTGAGTAAGTAGGTGACACATCATCCATCATCCATCATCATCCCAAGTTTTTTTAGAGGTTGAACATGACACGATCTAACGAATTAGTTGGAGATAGGAATGACGTTGAGTACATTGACATACTTTGATGTTGATGGTGTATTCTCATCACTGCAGAACCACACTTTGGGCTTGTCTTGACATCACGAATCAACACAAAGGCTCTCTGGTGTCAGAAACACACCGACCCTCGGTCCCCTCGACCCAAGAAACATACGCCAATCCTCTGATCGTAGGGTCACCCTGATGCAGCAATGCCAAGAATACGCAGTTGAATTCCATCCCTTGGGTATATCCGATATCCCATTCCCCCATCCATTCCTTTGGGCCCAGGTGGATGATGATGGATGGTTCAGATGCAGGCCTTTCAAACCATATCATGATCACCTTTCATCGACTGTTCCGGGCATGGAGACACAGCCCATCCATCCCCAGTCTTTCACTGGGACGACCGCAGTCAATCCCACCTCTGGCCCGCCGCAGCCCCACACCTGACAGCCAGGTAGCATACGATTTACTTCAACAAGAACAGTTGAGCTGTCCTTGTTCAATGTCAGTTGAACTGTTGAACTGAACACGAGGATTGAACAGTTGAATGGAGCCTCCATAGACCATCATATATTCCATCCCCTTTGCAAGAACAATGCATCCTCACATGCAGTTCTTCAAAATCCTGCGCCACCAACAAAACACATCCACCATAAAGGAAGTATGTACCAACTATATAGACTGCCTGGAAACATAGCATCCCACATCCTAACCTTTTTCTTTTTCTATCGCTAAGGTCAATATAAGTCAATGATGGTCAAAGTATCTCATCCAATCTTCCCCACAAGGTTTGGCTCCAAAGCGCCGAACAGCGCCCCGCCAACCCCTTCTGCGGCCCTCTGGGCAAAGCTCAGCTCAGAACAACCACACAAGTGCCAATCACTTCACGGTTGCTGTGTTGCGATTGTCACAACGAAACCAAACGAAACCAACGGCTCCAAAGCCTCGAGCACGGCCACCTGGAAAGGGGTCTGCAAGCGATCACCTGCCGAGGGCAGCAGCCTTGGCACGTTGCTGGTTGGTGGGCACCAGCGAGCTGAGCCGTTTTCGACCAGTGGCCGGTAAAGACTGAAACGGAACACATGAAGATAATGAAGAAACTGAAACTGACATGTGAACATACTTGAACATACATGTCAATGTGTCACTGTAGTTGGGAATCAACTGCATGTCCATGTTTTGCTATTATGGCGGCAAATCCAAAGCGCCCGTGCCACCTGTAAGTCAACCATACGCCAAATCCACAGCTGTGCCATCTCGTTGTCAACTTGGCCGAGATCTCGGCCAGCCGGAGGAGTAGGTCGCGTCACTTTCGAGGACGTAGCACTCTTCCAAATCGGCATCCACCCAGAGCCTTGAGGGGACCACTTCTGACACCTCTCCCGGCCACCGCCAAACAGCTCCGGACAAAAAACAGGGAGCTGTTTGGCGGTGGAAGTGACCCGAGTACGTGACGAAACAACGATCGGATCAAAGGAATCATCATGGTTCATGCCAATTTTGTGTCTTGCGATCTTTTGAGAGAGCAAGACACATACGTTGCACCCAAACTCGAGTCGAACTCATACGGGTACCTGCAAGCTCCAATGATCAAATAGATATGGTGCATTCAGAAATTCCTGTGCACTACACATCGTTCAGAAGACATACACAAGAGTAATTTAAAAGGAACGTTTTCTGATGGTAGCCATTTTGACTGTATTGGGTGGCATCTTCCCACTTTCAAAGCCTGTCATACGGTGACAAATTGGAACATGCTGCTATGTCAGAAGTAGTGAAACACCTTCGGGGGTCGATCGGTTTGTCAATCCCAAAGGAATGGCGCCCGTTGCTCCCTCAAGAGATTTAGAGCTTGTCAAACCACCAAGGCTTTATTTATGTTGTTAAAGAAAAGTCCCATGTTCCGGGTGACAACTTGTTCTACCCGGAAATGTCCGTCAAATACACTTCTTCACCATTCTTTACCCATCCAATACACGTCTCGAGTCTTTACCTACGCCGTCCTCTACACGTCTTTCCCGTCCAATGTGCGTCTTTCCCTGTCCACCATCCACCAGCCTACAGTTACGAAGCTTATGGATCCGCGGTGGGACATGTAAGCAGGACTTCTTGGAGACAGTGAGTTAAGAGCAGTAAGCCTCAGAGTGCTAGATTAGATTGGTATCAAACTGAAATGGGAGATCCGGAAGTTGAGCTGTAAGCACTGTAAGTGCAGGCTCCGGCGCAAGTGACAAACAGGGCCTTCTCGTGTGTTTCTAAAGAGGACCAAGCTCACAGAATTGCACAGTGTTGTGTTCAAGTGTGCAGAATTTGTTTAAGTACACGGAAATCTCCTCCAAAATCATGTGCACAAATTTGTTTGTCCAATGAAAATCCAGGTATACCTGTATTCTTGATTGACGACAAAGACTTGCAACCCTCTAACGATCCTGTAATGGATCAATATTCACTAAATTGGTTTGGTCACTTCCTGTCTCTTTGCCACTGTTATTTCACCACCACGAAGCAAGCAGTCTCGCCTGAAAAAGTTTTGCTGACCACCAAAGCCTACTCCCCGCGGAGCATACTTGTTGCGCCTGAGTCCACAGTTTCGTGAGCATCGCGCCCAAGCACAGGGGATGAACACGGATTATAATGTATGCAACATATCTCTAGTCTCTAGTGATGTTTGGTTTGTGTCTTGCGTTTCGTCTCTCAGGCACGTGTTGGCTCATTCCGTGTTGTTTCCGTGCCTTTGTGATTGGCAGGACACTGGGCCAGGTTTGATGCCAAATGATCCAAATCTATGGAGACCCTGACAATGCCACGATGACACAATATGACACACTCATATAGTATTTCTCTGGGGGGGACTACAAAGGCTTGTCGGGGGGGATCATTGAGATGCTTCATGCTCCTGCCCTGCCAAACGTGATCCTTCAGAATCATGGGAAACGATGGAAAACTTCTCACCGCATGGTACGTACGCATATATTGTTCGTAAGGGGTGCGGAGGACATCGATTCTCATCATATCATCGGCCAAACAACAAATTGCATGAAATGCATTAATTTATATTAATTTAATATATTGATCTATCACCCCCACATACAGTATATGTTTGTGGGACCAGCGGTGGATTCCCGACCAAATTCGACCAGCGACCACCAGGAATTCCAGCGAGTTGAGGTAGAAGTAATTCCCTGAGCTGCTGGTGCTCTTACACCTCGTCGCGTGCACGGTGCACGCCAATCCATTGCGGGCAGCATCTTTTTACAAGCAAACCTGTTGAAGAAGGTACAGTAACTCTACATAGCATATTCTATGCAACTATGATGGTTAGTCAAGGCTGCATCACAATTAGCAACTACATGCTGGTTGAGATTGACTGTGGGTTACAGGTTGGCAACCCAAGCTTGGAACAGTCGCCGCTCCTCCTCCGTGCTCATTGGGTCACATCCCTCCAAATGAAGCGTTTCAGTCATTCAGTCAGGCTTGTGGCTCAACCAACCCATGTCCAGCACATCCTATTTCTCGCTTCAGCCCCAACAAAAAGGATCCTGTTTAGCATGTTGAGCTCCTCTCCGCTACCTCGTTAGGTAGGACCATGATCATCTACCAAAGACCTAACGGTGGAGCATGCAACTGCAGCGACCCTTACGGCGCTTGACCAAGAGTGCATGTGGGCGCTGCAGTGCCACGCCGGACGAACACGCCTGAAACGTAAAAGGTTGACCGAACCGTGAATTATGTTAAGCTTACTCGTCGGAGTTAAGTCCAATTTGGGCTTGAAAGTTCTTACTACATGCGCAGCCGGTCAAAACATGCTAGCCATTCTGCTGCCACGATATCGCTCTTCAAGGTTCCCTCTGGCTCAGCAAAAACACAAAAGCCGACAATCTCTCGTGGCTAGGACTAGACTTCTGAGGTATCGTTCCAGGTATTGTTTTGTAAGTTTTGTATCGGTTTGGGTATTGCTCGGAAACCCATGATTTTTCCAAAACATTTACGTTGTCAACCAACATATCATTGGCCGCCTACTCCTGGAACAGGTATCGCTCTTCAGGATTTCCTATCGCTTACACGTAGTGATTGCAAAGCTTTTACAAAGTCAACGGCGAGTCACCTCTATATAAGACTCTTCATAGGATGTCTTGGTCCTTGCTTACAATAGTTATCTTTGAGTTAGCTTTGACATAACGAAGTCAAACCAATTTAACTCGGATTACTTGCAGTTCGCCACCATCACCAAATGATTACTTGAAGCGCGGATGGGCGGATGGGCAGGTGGGGCGAGGAAACGGGGACTTCAGACTTCCCGTTTCCTTCCTCCAAAAGTGAAGGTCTTGAGGTAACCCAAAAGTTGGACACGCGCAACTGGTTTGTCCCCAGAAGTAGTTGGGCCGGAGACACTCGGACAAAAGGAGTTCCACGACCACTGCTGTGTCGAAAAAGCAGAAGTGTTTGCCCCCAGGGCTCATAGCTTTAGCCGTCAAGGCTAAGTCAAAAGGTTAGCAGACTTAAAACTACGGTGGGCAGTTTAGACTTAACAACTATGCCTATGCCGCTGATAAGATCAAGATTAAGATAGCTAAGGGATGCTAAGGCTTTGGGGAAGTAGGTATCTCAGTTCATCCTACGGCCACGGCGACGGACCACCCAGGTTCCGGCCGTCAACGACCGGACCACCGGGTTGTGTTGGGCAGATCACCGGGCCGCCCGGCACGGCCAGAGAGGGTTGCAGTGCAAACCTCGAAGCAACGTAGCGAGTTCGATGAACATCCAAACAGGACCAGGAGAGGTGGTCCAGTGGTGTATCTTTGGTCCCTCTTTGGCAATAACTGAGGGAAGGAAGGCGTTGGTTGGCCGGTACCAAAGGCAAATCAAAGGCACAACACACGGATCCTGTCTTCGATGTTCTTCCGTGGATGTGGGCCGCCTGAGCTTCGCCGATCAAATCTCCGTGGATCGACACCAATATCTTGAGAACATATTTTAACAAAAACTCCTCAAGAAGTGTGTGACGTGAGGAGACACAGACCAAATCTCCGTGGTACGTCACACACTTCTTCAGCACTCGCCCAAGAATCTCTTTTCGGGTCCCTATTATCCTTGCGTCAACCTCCTCGTCCTCGTACTTCGTCTCGTCCGTACGTCACTGGGAGTCGGACAGCCAACATTCGGTGGAACCCGCGAACTTGCCGTTGTTGTCACTCCAGACCCTCGGTCGGCACGGGCGGAGTCGCACGGACGTCAATCCCTTGGTCCCCACAGCCGGAGTCACGAAGCCACGGAGGCGAAGCAAGGGGGCAACATACAAAGCAGGGGCAGCAAGTAGAGCCATACTCAAATCGGAGTCTCAAAATCGCATGTGAGGCAGTTCTGCCAACCCATGACATCATGCATTCCACCTGGTCACAAAGAACAAACGGCCCCTCGGTGGGGCAACCCATCTTCCCAGTCATTTCGTCCATTTCAGGTCTGCATCCTCAGCCAGGAGTCCGTGCGTGGAGAGGCCACCCAGGACATGGCCCTCAGGCGTCTGCAAGAGCAGCAGTGCAGGGCCATCGTAGAAGAGGGCACCCTGGCGGATGGTGTGCGCCGAAGCTGGATTCGGGCACAGTTGCTGGACCGAAGAGAAAGTGGAAAGCACGGATGAGTCTGCCTGGAGGTGCAACGTGTAAGATGGGAAGATGAGCTACAAAGAACTGGGCAAGCTAGAGCTAGAGTAGTTCAAGAAGATCGGAATCTCAAGCCACTCTTCCCATTTCCACGTCACACATATTCTCCCACAATTCCCTGTTCCTTCACAACAACATCATTCAATCTGCATCCTACATCATCCACCATCATCTCCTCCTCCCCGCATGGCCAGTTGGGTGAGCCTGGATGAGCTGTGCAGAACATATCCCGCCGTTGTGTAAGTTAGCAGGATTCACAGTCTCTCTTGGATTTGAGAGCTATAGTAGCTGCTGTTTTAGCTGCCGTTTCAGTGCTTTCAAAAGACATCCGACTGGCGGCACGTCGCGGCGCGTCGCGGCCTTCAGCAGCGCGTTGAAGGATCGGCCATCGCACCAGTCGCGGTAGAGGGGTTGCCAGGCCTCGGACCTCGGAGTCGACCGTCACATGGACGAGGCGAAAGGTTTGCGCGTCGGGGTGGGGAGGCGTGTGGTTTCACCCAGGTGGTGCTTCTTTTGGTGTCCAATTCGGTGTGTCCAAGCGGGGTGAAATGGTGAGTGCACTGTGAGATGCGAAGAAAAACCACATGGACTATATGAGTTATACAACGGGACGGAGTTTGGTGAAGTCTGTGTTGTGTGTTAACATGGTTCCTCTGAACGTCCAGGAACCTTTACACCAAGATCCATAAGAATATACAACCTTTTGAAATACCCACTTAGTTGATGGATCCGGCTGAAGTAATCCCCAAGAAGTGGATAGATTGCACTGCTAATTCATGTTTTGATGAATTCTTCGCATCCAACATTGTTCAGCATGCCAGCCATGACTGTGTGGCCCAATGTGTGGCTTGCAGCGGAGGAGGAACACAAAGGAACATCCAAAGATCAAAAAACACCGAAAAGGTTGCTCATGTCTAGTTCAATCTTGCCTGTCTTGCAGCAAAGTATAATTCAAAAATGCTGTGTTAAGGCAACTCACTGATGTTCTTTGTGCAGAAACACTGCACCGTCTACGTCTGAGTTTGAAGAGATCCTGAACAGGCAAAAAAGGCGGTGATCTCTTGGAGATCCCCAACATCTGGTGCACCCGCCCGAAGAGATCCGGCTCGACGTGTCGTCGATCTCGCCCAACGAGACGAGATCCCGCAGTTCTGGTACTGGATAGCACGAGTCCCATGGATGCAAAGAGATCGTTTGTCCACATTCATATCTGTAGGTCTCCAGGTCTCCATGCTTTTGACACCTTCTAAAGTGCCGCGAGACGACCTTCATCAGTTCGAATGAACCCGACACGATGGTGATGAATCCAAACACCTTCTCTTTTCTCTCTGTCTAAGCGTCGCATGATGCAAACAGGCATCTGCTGGGTATTTTTATTCTCTTGCTTTGGGGACGAGATCAAATGAGGATGCGGAGGGCCATTCCGCAGAAAGGATACACTCCAGTATCCAGGAGAAAGTTTGTAAAATCTCTAAATCGGGTCAGCCTGTAAGTTTGTCAAACTATCATCTATAGCTCGCCTCAGAACTCTTGGCTCCAATCTTTAAGACTGGCCAATCCCCGCAACAAAAGAAACACTAGCTTGGGAAAACTGAGCTGTTCGAGTGTCAGTACGTCTGTGTACTATATACATGGATGTACTGTACCTATCTGTACCTCCAAAAGCAGTCCGACTGAGTCCGACTGAGACGGCCGACTCCCAGAGTCTCGCAGTGCAGCTCCGCAAAAGCCTCAAAGATCGGAGGTCGGGCAAGGTCTGCTTCGATCGGCTCATGGTCTGCTTCGATGGTGAATAGCCAATGTCATTGCATGATCGTTCACAATAAATATAATGCTTTATTTGGTAATTATTATGTTTGACCTTTGGGAAGCGTTTGATGGTTGGATTGTGGGTCATGATCTTCTTTCTCTCCCAGTGAGTAGTTGCCCAAGCCGCACAAATCTCTGAGGAAGAAGTGCAGTTGATCTAAGTGAATTGGACCCCTTCTGGCATTCAAAGGTCTTGGTCTGTGGCCCTGTTCAACACCTGAGAAACCATTGAGCTTGAACAATGAAGAACAACTTTTGATGATATATAAGTGCACTTGCAGGTAGGTGGCCAACCAGAAGGTACGCAAAGCTATAAAGGTATAACCGTCCGTATAACCAAAAGGTGTCATTTACTGTGAGAGGAGGATCAAGTAACCGACCCCCCCTATTGTTTGGCCCAACTGGTTCTCCACATGCCAAATCTATGCCAAATCTATGTCACGCCTGCAAAAGTCAAACAAGGTGCTGTACGATTGCCTACACATAATATTGACTATGTCCCGATGCTTAACCCCATTTCCATGAAATCTGCCACGTGTTCCTCCCATATTGCTCTGTTTTCTTCACGATTCTCAGATGATTTGCACCGCCAAGTCTGGGGATCTTTGCATTGTATGTCATTTCGGACCACAGCATGGCCCAAGTCATCTGACCCCAGTATGCAATGATTTTGTGATATTTGTGGATTTGTTCACTCTTCCCATGTCTTGGACGGCTGTGTTTTCAGGTGTCACTGGGGCCAGGGCAAGGACGTTCCCACCTGACACGGGCGGGAACGGAACGTGTCGGGCGGGATGGAAGAGACCGGTGCAAACGAAGAAAGCACGAAGAACACCAATTTACGAGCATGGTGGACTGTGATAGACCAATGACGAACACACATGGTAGACCAACTAACTATAGTTTTGCAACCGGTTTGTCAAGGAACTTCTCCAAGATGTCACCAAACCAATTTGAACTTGTGCCCAGGTCTCAGCTGGAAGATTCAAGGCTGCAAGAGCCAGGGACTCCAGTCTAGTCCAGTCTACTCCAGTCACACAGTCTCTCCAGTCTCCGCACCTGCGCATGTACAAAGCAGTTTCCGCTCTACGAGCCCGATATGTGGGAAGAAATATCCCATACACCCCAAACGGCCTGATGGATGGAACCGAACACCGCTGGTTTGGGGGGGGGAAGCTTCAACACCGTCCTGGACACGCTCTCCGGCCTCCAGGATGCGGCTCTCGGGTAGCGGAGGTGGCTCGATCCCTGCCTCTGAAGCGATCACAGGTGGGGTCGGCAGGGTCGGTCGGGGGCTGAAGAACGTTTAGGGTAGAAATCCAAGGTACCTTGGGGACACAAAGCAGCACCAGAAATAGAACCATTGAACCATGTGCTCACTAGGTGATTGAAAGAGAATTCAATTGCACTAACACACCGTGTGATTGCTATCATTGCAACAAAAATTAGCCATCTCACAAGAGCACCTGTTCTGAAACAAAACTGCACCAGTTTGTGTGGTTCTTGGTCAAGGGTGAACAATTGTTTCAGATACTTCCTAGGCCTGATCCCAGTTATTGATACAGCATGTCTTTTGGATAGGCCTGTATTTATATTTTATATACAATAGATTGTGGTCTTCCAGGGGGTCTCCCTATGGTATAAATCCTTCAACCAACAGCAACAAACAAATGATTCTATTATGAACAAATGATTACAGTAAACAACTGCTTACTGTTAAATTAAATCGGTTAATGATCATAAGATTCCTTTGGCATCCTTTGGCCAACAGTACCCAACAAATCTTCCGTCCAGCAGGTCCCTCCATGTCTGCGTCATGTCGCTTCTCCCATGGCTCTGCGCCAAGCAGCTGAGCCGGTCAAGGACTGTGCCAAGCAAGAAGCAACGGCTTTGGGGAGCATGGGAAGATGGCCTAGGCTAGGAGCCCGCCCAAGAGGGACTTAAACGATTTCTATTCTACGTGTATACTGTACCATGGTTACCAAGGTCAATACAGAACGATTCAGCTCGTGACTATGGTGACTGTAGTGGAACTGTTTTGGTTACAAGTATACTTGCACGAGTCTGGGCCGCGAAAATGGGTTCTTTTGGTGCAACGCTCTATTGGAGTCCACGGCCGATGAGGTATCAATATGAGGTCCAGTTTAATCGACCCTGACAGATCTGACAGGCCACCATTTCTGGCACCGAACCCCACAACCCCACAACCCACACCTCTACCCGCCCAACGGTCGGTCGGGAGTCGGGACCGGTCGGTCCCGGTGGGCACCGACCTTCAAGCCAGGAAGATAACGAACTCAAGGAGTCCATCGGAGCGTTCCTCAGAGCAGCCACCTGCGGTCTGCACGCTTGCGGTCTGCACGCACGCTCTACTGCCCACGACCCGGGGACGAGCAAACGGGGGGGGCATCCAGTGTGCGACGGAGAAGGGGGTGTCTTTCTTTTGGTGGGTGAGCTGCATGAGTGATGGGGGGGGTCATGTTTCAGACCGATGCATGTTAGCAAACAATTAATATATTAATGTTTGACTCCCCCAGGCAAAAGCACATTGTTACAATGATTCCGGGCATTATCTAGCCCTTCCTTCTGTAAACGCTCATTGCAAGCTGACAGGAACTTTGGTCGACCACCGAAAACGAACAGAACAAAAGACTACAAAGGGAAGTCAACCTACCAGGGTTTGGGGCTCTGGGTTCTGATTCACGGCCATATACTAATCTGACTCTCCAGCTGGAGTTTCCAAAGTCAAAAGAAGAGTTTGAGCAGTGCATTCCAGCATTCATAGCCATAGCAGGCTTGACTCTTCGTCGAAAGAGCTGCAATAGCTCCGGGATGTTCCCATAGCGAAGCCCAAGTGAAGGGCATCCAAAACATGATGGAGATCTGATAACAAATCCTTCCTCAGTAACAAACTTTGGACTAGGCCGACTTCTCCGAATGGTAGTACCCCAGAGTGGATGCTGGGCAGCTCTTATCATCTTTCTTGGTCCTCACGTGTGACGTGGTGAGGACGCCAGTCCTGTCAAGGAGCGTAGTCCACGAGCAAGCTAAGTAGAATTCCACAACAGTAGCGAAACCCTGCTCGCTGGTCATGATGTTTGTTTGCTCTTTTCTCTCTTGGGCCAAATCATCCGCTTGTAGCCCTATGGATCGCCATCGATCACCAATTTATTTAGAGTTCCACCAATGTCAACCAATAGATACCATGTAGAAACGATATTGAAACCACAGGAAAACATCATGTTCCATAAGCGTTTCAATCCCTTCCTCCACTTGGCAACCCAGGCGCAACAAAAACAACCACCAAACATTGCGGGTTTCTGCATATAACTATAACATACTATAACTATAATAGGTGCTCATATGCCGGGGAGTTGTCGTGTCCATTTGCAACGCCACTCCCCCTCTCCCGTCGGGTCTCCCGACCAGTCGACTCGGACCTGTCGACTCTTCGGCCTCCGCAGTTCGAAGCAGTCGAACCAGTCGAACCCGACTCAGGTCGGTATGGAACATGCCTATCCCTGGCCGTTGTTCCACCCAATTCCCAGAAACGTCCAAGAAAAGCGCTGTATCCTGGCGTTTCTTGAGCCTGAGCCCGTCAAAAGACCAAGAATTGCACATGTTTTCGCGCCGTTTGCCAAAGGTTGGAAGGCGCCCATGATTGACTGAAAATCAGGTCGCCCAGAAGCCAGGGCAAAGACTCATCAAGTCAAAACGTGTTGATCTTTTGGGGGGGCGGAAATCCCGTCGGTGGGTCCAGACCTAGGTCCGGAGTGTTGGGAGGTTCACAAAAGCAGCTGCAGACAGAACGGTGGACACGTCAACCGGGGTTCCTGACCAGGGCTCAAAAATTACTTCCACAATCTTCCACATGTTTGTTCTGATTTGTTCTGAATAGGAGTTTTTTAGTCTTTTGACTCTTTGAGGATCCTGGACCATTGAGGCAACGAAGATCTGAACATCTCCCGCCTCTCGTTTGAACACGGCACACCAATAGCACCTCGATGCGGCCGTGGAAAAGCGTGCGCGCGCGCCTTCCGCGTCACGGTTCACGGAAGTTCCGCGACTCTGCAGTTTCTGGAGCCCCGTTCGTAGCGTCCTTGTTACTAGTAGCGATGCCAGGAGCCCCTAGTAGCTTCTTGTTCCTCGGAATCCTATGTTGTGCCCCTTCCAGGACAAGTTTTCCATCCAGTTGTCCATCCCACATTTGTGACCGCTTGTGTATGGGGAAATCAATATGCTGACTTGGTGTTGCGATTTTGTGCCGCCTTGCGTTGGCCCATTGCAGATGAAAGCCGCACAGACCCTACCGCTTCGGCCGGTATCACATGGCATGAACTTGCCCTGGCCTTTATCGTTAATACAGGTCTTCAATTTCCCACCTGGGTTCAGACACAGCCAGCTCAGCGGGCGCAGCCCCTCCACTGGCAAGACCCCCGAGTTGTGGCCCTGCCCGCACATCGTCGATCTCTTCGAGAGCAGGCAGAAGCATTTCGTACTATTGCATTATATCTCCAGAAATATTCGGAATTCAGATATCCCGCTCCTCCCGGCTTATTCCAAAACAGGCTCACTCAGTCTGACACACATCGGTTGGGGTCGTGCTTACACTGGGGTTTTTTCACTGCGGCCGGAGCTTCCCAATTCTGCAGCTGTGCAACGCTCACTCATCCGCTATGCTGCCGATTTACAGTGCAAGCCGCCATATCACCCCGATGGGCTTGTCCCGATGCATCACATTAAACCGATATTCCCAGTCATGGATGCTGTACCATTGACATTTGAACAACGCTTTCTGTATCGGCGGTATCTTCGACAGTGTTGGCACCGCAAAGGAGATCTAGCTCGGGTGCCGATCCCACCAGCACCCAATTAGGAATTTATGCTGCGCGGACATGCGTTTTCACGTAGTTGATCTGTGTATAGTGCACCTTTTGTATCTTCACCACATTCGATTCTCACCCAACTCCCAAATACCCCCTACCACAGGGAAGGATCTCGGGAAGCGTCCGGACATGCGCAAGTTTCGAGAGTAGTAAGGCCAGGAGCCCCTAGTAGCTTCTTGTTCCTAGTAGTAAGGCCAGGAGCCCCTAGTAGCTTCTTGAAGTTGTTCATTTGTTCTCTTTTTGACTGAGGTGAACTGTGGCAATCGCGGAGGCAAAACACACATCGCTGTGGCAATGGCATCCGTCTCCAATCGTCACAGTGTAAGCCCACAGCAAGCATGTAATATTGTATTATGGTCTTGCTGTACTGACCTGCAAAACGTGAGAAGCTGGGGTGCTTTTTGGACATTTGGTCATTCCAAGTTCTACCCCGTTCTGGATTTCCAACACCGAACTGATCCTCGATCTTCTAGCACTAACGCTGCACCCTTTGTTCTTCACCAAGCCGCAGGGAGACGGCCAACTCCAGGCAGAGCTCCAGCCTCGCGTGGAGGGAACTGTCGGCGTGTCGCCCAAATTTGGGCCCCGGGAGTCTGTGGACTTTCTGAGGAAAACACATCATAACACATCCAAAGGGATGCCCATGACACCTGTATCTATTGTACACAAATCTACCCGCCCCCATATTATGCGGATTCCTCCTGTAAGAGGAAACCACGCGAAACATGAGTATTGACCAAAGAACTTTCTTGAGGTATACTAACATGTGAGGGGTAGGTAGATCACCAGGTATACCTTCACTACCTTTGTCTATAAATTTGTGGCCCATCGAACAGAATCGAACAACGACAAAAACGCGGCACCTGGATGACCTATATAGGCAGACCTGAACAATCCAACTGGCCAAGCTACCTAGACTCTAGACCCTCAATGAGGGCTCATAGCATACACACTGACATACAAACACGTTGTGGTGTGTCTCAAACAAATGCAGTAGGGGCAGTACGGTAGTCTCATGTACGGCAAGTGATTGCTCATTGCCCAATCTGTGAAGCACACTCTTCTAGAATGCCTCACAAACACCCTAATTCTTGAAAAATCCAATCTCATAGTAGTCCCACAATCGATCATGTTTCCCTTTTGAACATGTTTGAACAACGTTATCATCATCTTTGGGCTTGGATACGTTGGATACTTCTTTGATCTTCTTTGCCCTCCGTCTCCACCGTCTTGGAACATCCCCCCAGGCCCCGGGACTCCGGAGCTGCGACACCTACCGACGAGTGGTGCGCGACGTTCTCCGCTTTTCTCAAACGGCTCAGAAAGTGAGAGGGACACCGTTCTCCGCAGCGAAGAGGAGTCAAGGAACCAACCATCTGCCTTGGAAACCGATCCAACAATACCCAACATTTAAACCGCAAAGCAAATAGGACAAACTTCCACAGGCTTTGTAGAGAGAGGTGGAGATCAACTCATTGAGACAGGAAAGGACACGAGTCCTAGTCAGTCCACCTGAAAGAGGGAACTTGGCGAATTGGGTTTGAGGGGTTGATCCAACATTCGCATTTGGCCTATCAGCCACGGCTTCATGATGCTTCATGCCTCTGGATTTTCCCTGACTTTTTTCTAGGCTAGGCATTCCATTCTGCCTCTGGTCGGGGCACCAAGGCCGGTGCACGTCCCCCACCATGCACGACGTCCATGTCTCCGGACCCCCACCGCCCCGTGGACCCCCACCGCCCCGTGGACCCGCCTGGAGAGCGGACCTGGGCATCCAATGGCATTCTGTGAGAGCTTTGGCTCAAAGACGTTCGATGAGCGGACCGATCACGGAAAAGCGCACCACGCCTGGGGGAAAACATTGGAACAAACCATCATCTGAGGGAAATCGAGTCGTTGTGAGTCGTACTTCAAGCTCACCGCTGGCTTCCATGGTCCATGATCTCAACATGTCTCAACCTTTACCACTGGACGTTCGCAAAGTTTCCCCGCTGTTGACAGTGAGTGTCTCGGTGAAATCCAACCCCCACCAGGACCACACACGGAACCGTTCGAGCGCCCGCCTCCTCGGCTGGCTCTGTCCAAACCTGGCTGAGGAAGATCCGTTGTTTTTCAAGGAACAATATAGTTGATCTTTTAGTAGCTGATTTAAAATAGATACAGTAGCCACAACAAAACGGAAGGTCTGCCACAACAATATCTAACTTTCCATGATGATTCATGCACAAAGGACTATGGTGTCCGAACAAAAACCAGGAGAGCTAGGCGGAAAAGGGTGTGGTGTTTGCTTGATTTTTGTTCTTGTTCTTTTTTAATGTGCATATTTCAATAATGAATACAGTTATATATATATACAAATATATTTTTTAATGTAAAATATGATAATAAACATATATATGTAATTAATGGTGAGCTTAATATCATGGCATATCATGGAGATGGATGTGAGTGCTTTCTTCACCATGGTACCGGACCAACATCTGGTAGCGGTCGACACCACAGGTGAACCACTTTGGAGGTCGACAAAAAACGGTCCATCAACCTGGGGTCATTGTTAGAACGACAAATGAAATGAAACACATTGAAAAACATATGACCTGACCCCCAAAAAACGTTTAGAACACATGAAACGGTCAGTGTTACTGTTTGGTTAGTGTTCATCTTCGGTTCTCTTGAACATATGGAGGTGACCTGACTTCGTTCGTAGATTCTACACTTTCCCAGCGATCCTCTCAGGTGGATCGAGTTGCGCAGTATGAATGCTCGCTCGCTCGCCTGCAGCAACTCTTTCCTGGCACAGAAGACTGAGGTTCAAGAGATTCCACAAGACGTGGCGTCCATTCCAAAATTTGTTCAGATGTCAGATTCTGCCTCATTCTTGGCTTGCTACAATGAGGTCAGGTTATAATATAAACCAAATTGGTAACAAAAGGAACCAACTCACTAAGCCATCTCATCAAGATGATTCACAGCGCATCACACAAGTGAATCTCCTTCACTCTGCTGTCAACCCTGTTTTTTCACCCACAGGTCTGAAAGACCGTGAAGAACGCCTCCAGGCGTGTGCCAAAGCTGAAACCCTCCAGGCTAACCCCCACACACACCCACCCTGCGTTTTCGCTCTGCATCGAAACCTGCGCGCTTTCGATCTGAGGCCCCCGAACCAGGTCACTCCGGACTTCACCACGCGACCGAGGCCCTGCGCGAGGGCAGACCTGCGCAGGGCGCTCACACTCGCTCGCGTCGCTCGCGTCGCTGGCTCGGTCACCCGGAGGAGCTGGTCCGTCTGAAGAGGAAACGAGTCATTGTTCCCCAAAAGCAACCGCCTGAAAAAGAACATCGCGTCCTGCATATCTGAAGAGTCCGCCATGTAACGCAGCGAGTGGAGTTTTCTCCAACAGTCTTTTGGGTGATGAACTGCAATCATTCCAGCACAAGCCCCAAAACATCTACAGTATGTTTGTTTCGCTGCCAGCGTTGTTTTTTGAGCAAAATTGTCTTTGGAATACGTCACATATGTTTCTGATATGCACATCGGCAAACAGCAAACATTTTAGTTTCGTCAACAATATTGTTCTCCAGGCAGAGGTTCTAGCTACGTGTATAAGCACTATAGCAGTGAATGATAGTGAATGAGGTTTCATAGGATGAGTGGATGGTCCCAAAGCAAATTATGGGTTCACCCAGCAAATCCAGGTCACCGCTCGAGAGCGCGGACTCGCGCGAACTCGCTCGCACGCGGCTTGGCTCACCACGCTGCAGACCCTTCGCCCACCCGCTCCTTTCGACAGAAAGGAGTGAAGACCGTTCGCGGGTCGGAAGGACGGGGCCAAACCATGAACCGCCCAGACCGTGAAGAACATTTGCCATGACATAAGATTTGCCCGTGTCAAGTCTTCCCTTACACTTGGAACATATTCCCTAATACTTAATTCTAATTACTTTTAAGTATATTTATTTATTGTCTCTAGTAGCGATGCCCTTGCTCCTAGTAGTAAGGCCAGGAGCCCCTAGTAGCGTACTGTAAGTGTAGGTAAACGGTTTACACTCAAAAAACCGTCAAGCCTCGGTCCTTGCCCAGGTAGCAAAACAAGGGCTGCACGAAGGAGCCTTGGTCAGGCATGAAGACCACCCGTCGGTGGGGCCTACTGCAAGGGGTTTGGCCCAAGCAATGGAGCTCTGTGATACACATTGACGCCACATTGACACAAATTTTTGGTGACGAGAAGTGCTGGACAGTGGAGGTATAGATCTACATCACCTACAGTAAATCTATCCGACTTTCCAGGATGATGTCCCAACCCATAATACATGCGTATAACTTATATAGGCAAGCAACAAACAGATGTTTAAAATAGGTGGCCCACAATGTGCCACACAATCTTCAGAGGCCACGTTCTTTTCATCCCGGCAAATCTGTGCATCTCTCGATCCAAGTCTTGCCGAAACAACATGCACAAAAAAGGTGCTTATTCATGGGTCTCTTAGTCAATAATGCGCTAGAAAAACGTAATGTCACCATTGTCAGAATCCCTCAATATCAATTCAATGTGACATAAGGTCCAGGTGTTCTTCGGATATTGTTTATTCTTATGATACCTGAGGTGAGACGTCGTACACATTCGTCATAATGGGGGGGTATTACTAGCAATGTCTTTGTGATATTGTAATATAGTCATTTTTTGCAAGTGACCATAAAACTAACTGTAAGTCCTTTTCTTGTGATAGGTGGCGTTCCATTGCTTGGCCGTGCTGCTGTTCACCTGAAAATGTTGCGCGATTATTGCAATGTTCCTTTTTCTTGTTTTATATATAATAGAATCACATACAATTACAATGTGTATATATATATATATATTAGATTAGTTATATCAATTATAAAATGTGTTTGTTCTGCTGAGTCAGGGAACATTCCTTGTGAGTGTACTTATCCACTCAGCCGCCAGCGAAGATGTACCGGGAACCATCTCACCTGAGTGTGGTCGATGCCACTGCCACGACGCCGGTGAACCGGCTTCGTCCATTTAGACTTGGACCTTCAAGTGGTGTCCAATAAGATCCTGGATAATGCAGGGGTAGTGTAGGGGCGAAACCAGCCAGGTGACCCCGAACTGAATCTGCTTGGATGTGAAGTCGATCAACAGAACACACAAAAAGAAACATGGGGGATGGCGGGGGATGGTGACATGTCCTGGAATCAATTCCCAAATACCAATCCTGAAGGAACGCAAAGCACCGGTGTCATATCAATTGAGTACTCAATTGAGTATGAGGATCGAGCAAAGGAGATTCCCCAACATTCACAGGAAGACCGCTGAAGGATGTCCCGAAAGTAAAGGGTCAAGTTCCCATGTTCATCTGGAAGGGTTCTGGAGCTGAAGAGCTCGGGTGTTGTTGGATTCGACATGGCGAAAAGATGCGAAAAGGAACTCAGTGAGCGTAGCGGTTGGAACGTTTCACTTGGGGCGGGCACATAGTCATGTGGTGCTTTTATACACTGCAGTGCTTCCAAATGAACACAACAAGGTCTGAAACTCATGTATGTTGTGATATTGTGATGCCCCCACATCAGAATGTTGTGTTACATTGTGTTACGGTGTTTGGATCAAGAGCCTAAGAGCCTCATGTCGTTTGCCCAATATAATTAGCAAAACACTGTGGTCCGGTCAATTGGCGCCACGTCATATGAGACGAGAAGCAAAATCAGCCAGCTCCACTCTTTGTGTGGACCTAGGAGCAAAGGTGTAGGCTCCAGCACGACCATCAAGTGGACAATTAATCAATTCATACTTCAAACAGCCTCTTGCTAATACCACCATGTCATTTGTTCATAATCTTCCCATACATCAATGTCTTGAATCACAACTGCAATTCAAAACCCGTGGCGCTGCCACTTGTCCGACTCAACTCGGTGCCCGCGCGGCGTCACGGCCAGGCGCTTCTGCAGTTCAGCGTACTCTTCATGGCTGAAGCCGTAGGTCTCCCTGCGATCCCAAAGCAACGGATGTTGATCCAACATCAAACCTTGGGCATATCCCATTACCAAGGCCAAGTGGATGATGGTTAAAGGCCTTTCGTGCCCCCCAACAAATAGATCATCCTTTACCGACTGTTACTGGTAACGACTAATGGGGCACACCCTAATCAAACCCCCATTCATTTCTCAACAACTCACACAGTCTATCAACAACTCTTCTGAACAAAGGCATGACACACAAACTCTTGGATTGGACTCTCTTGGTGTATGTGGAGTGGTTTGAAAAGTGTCTTGAATAATCTTGAATCCCATATTATACAACTAGAAAATAATATATATATATATCTTATCGGAGTATGCTGAAAAAAACTAAGATAGCTCCTTCCACAGCCTTTGGAAACAGACTTATTTGGTTCCTTTTCACCCATCTCCATTTCCCCTAGTACTAAAGTTGGTTGCTTTCGATGCTCTTCCATGCTTTTCCTTTTTGCTGCACGGCACGTTGCGGCACCCGGGCACCCCCCCCAGCAGCCGACCTCCGCGCGACCTCCGCCTGGCTCAGCAGAATCGCTTCAGATCCGCACTTTCTGCTGATACCAAAATATGCTCAAAAATTAAATCTGTTCATCACATATGCGCAGTATTATACAGATCACAAGGATTCCAAAGATCAGGTGCCATAAACAGAAAATCTATTAAAATCCGGAAACCTGCCAGTCAAAGAACTTCTAAGCCGACTGCACCCACTCCCGCGCATTCTTCACCGACTCCTGCCCACTGCCTCGACAGAAGTGCCTTGCCCCATGATGCCCCATCAGAGTCACACTGGCCGATTCAGTACTGATCGTGTTTTCAACCCCCTTGAAACAAGTGAATGGGCTCAATCATCCCAAGTAAGGGTTTTGAAACATGTTGAAAACAAACATCATCCGAAACCATCACTGGCCAAGTCGATTGGAGCGCCCTTCTACCATGTCGATGAGCGCCATACACTCGATGGATGGGATCGGACCCCTGAAACAAAGCCGACCCTGAAGCACAGTCGGCTGATCAGCCGACCCAGTTGGCATTGATGTGGAAACAATCTCATGATGGATATATATATATATACATATCATAAATCATAAGCTCCTTGTTCCTCTGTTGAGGAGTCGGTTCGAGGTGTTGGTTGCTTTACGTCTCACATTGTTCATGGACTTGTCAAGTCTCCAATTGTCTTGAACCAAAAACGAGCCACAAGACCTCGCACTGCACACAGGGAAAGTTGGAAAACAAAAAACATCTCCAATGGCCAGAGTTCACGGGTTTGTGATCCTTCTTCGTGATGACAACCAGCGGAGAGGAGAGTGGAGAGTCAAGATTCAAGATTTACAAGAGAAACATAAAACACGTGAAACATATCCATCTAACAATGCGGCATGAAAACAAGCTAACAAAAAAGAACAGGAGACTCTTCTACCTTGTCTACAGTAGGGTAAAGCACATGGACGAGGGTGTTTGTCTGCATCATTCTATAATTTGTATGTCAAAGCGGCTGCCAGTGGCAAGCGGCTTTTCTCCGATCTTTAGGTTGCTTCAGCTCGCGCTTGCTGCCCTCGGCAAAAGGTGCGATTGGTGGGACTCTTTACGTATTGTCAAGTTATGAGAAGAACCTATTATGGCAAACAAAAACCTAATTAAGTTGTCTTGTAATAAAGGGCTCATAACACTGGACCCTCCATTCAATCTGTGGTAACATCCGAGAAGTACTTCAACAAACAATCATTTAAAGACAAAGACTTGCTGTCAATGAGCCCGTTCTATGCTGCACACCCACAAAGAACACTTCAAACAAATAGCTACTTCAAACAAATAGCTTACCACTGCCAAATCAGGAGTTCGGGAGAACAATACTTATCAGTTTTTAAGGGATATTGTAGGGTAGAGAACAGTAGGCAGTGTCAGACTGAACTTGGCTTGCGAGCACTGAGCTTTGGGCATTTTCGCATGTTCAAGTGCGGTCTCCAGCTGCGATAATCTTAGCGCGCCGTTCAGGCAGAGTGAGAGGATCCAAACAAAAACCACCTGCTCTTCAGTAGGGATCAGGCCAACCATGCACGAAGTCAGCTAACTATCGCAGTATATCCCACCGATGTGTACGTCAAAATGGTGTGTTATATTCACCTTCCTGAGTGCCCGCACTCCCTTGGCCTCGCGTTGGCGCGGATCAGCTGGAGCTGTGCCTGAAGAGGAGAAGGGGCCGGGTGACACGAGGGAGACACGAGCTGCGCCGCTGCGCCTGGTGAAGGGCTGTTTTCCAGTCGTGTCGGAAGTGCCTTTGCAAGTGTTGGATGATGTTGGATGAACAGTTATAGTCTTTATCATGTTTCATCTGCAAAGTGCAGATTAAACATACTTCGTTGAAATCTTACAACGTCCGATAATCATCTGAGAGGCGCGCGCGCGCAAACTGATCTCAAATGAAAAAAAATCTTTTCTGGGTGAGTTACACTGAAATTGGACCTGATGTGGTGGAGAGAGCAGCTTGTTGTACCGTTGTCTCTCTTGAACGACTCAAGGGAGGAGAAACCTCCCTTTGTGGAACAAAGAAACAGCATGGCTTTAGATGATCTGTTTCTGCTTCTTCCTCCAAGGGTTGTTCGAGGATTTCCCACTTACGAATGCTGGCCATCTAAGAATGCCGGCGCTTGGCAAAAACACAATTTCAGCAGTTTCCATCCTCATCATCCTCTATTGTTGAAACACAATAAACACAAACTACTTCTGTCAAAATCTGCAACTGTTCAGTGCGAGTTTTCCTGCAAACTGCTGAGAATACGAAAGACATGTCTCTGGAATGTTCCATCAACAGCCACTATGTCACTAAGTCCACAAAGTGGCTTTCAGAAATTCCCTGCAATTCTTCAACAAAACAAAGCAAGAAAACTCCGCTGACCATCAGCCCGAACATCTTCTGCAGTTTGCGGTTTTGCGTGGCCGCTGCACCAGCCTCCAGTCGCTCCAGCCAAGAGGCTGCCCCCGGCCAACCCTTCGCGGCCGCCTGGCAGAACTTCTCACAGAATGTGTCTTTTCAGACTTCCAAGAACACCCCACGAGTCGGATCATCCCGCATGCGACAAAAACCAAGAAATTCGGTGCTTTCTCCCCGCCCGGGAACGGGGGGTTCCACCCACCACCACGATGCAGCCGAAACCCAAGCGAGTGCAACGGGGGCCAACGTGAACTGATCTGATTTCGCGCGGCCGCCGTCGACCCCCGTCTTCATCGTTCGCACGGCCGCCTCCGCGACGACGAGGGCAAACTGGCAAAGGTCGCCGTCGCTCCGCATCCAGTTCTCGGCCGGTCAGGACCGTCTTTTCCGTGGGTTCGATGAAGACCAAGCGGTCGGTGCGGTCGGTGGGTTCGGGTAGTTGAGTGGTCACTGTGATTGTGTTGATACACTAGGCGGCCGATCAATATAATAAAATATCAAGTTCAATTATATATCAGTGTCAGGGTCATGAGTCATGCTTGAACACCGACCACAGATTTCGGTCATTCTTGTTGAATCTGGGATAGCTCTCCAAGAAGTGTCATTCCACGCCTCAAGATCCTCAAGGCCCATAGGCCGGGGTGTAAATTGGGTTGTGTGTGACGGGGTAAGTTGCGAAACGTACTTCGCTACTAGCAACAGGCAGCTACGAACGTAGCTCCTGGCCATACTAGTAGTATCAAGAAGCTACTAGATGCTACGAACGTAGCAAGGTACCTGGAGAACCTTGGTGGCTTCAGCTCCGCGATCCGCACGATCGGGACATCGGGAAGTCGAGAAGTCCACGGTCAACGTCCGGTCGGTCGAGGTGAAAACAACAAAGGAAACCAAAACACCAAGCCACCTCCAACCACCTGGGCTACATCTAGGGACGTTTAAAGGTATGTTTTTGAAAGCAAATGGTGACCAAGGGTGATCACTGGTAACCAAGGGGTTGGGACAAACTAGGTCGACGTGGTTGGTCCAAGGTTCATGCTTTGCTCATGTCTTTTTGTCGAGTTCTTGACTTCCATATAGTGGCTAACTCCACAGTGGTCTGGCAGAGTAGCCAGTCACAAAACCCTGGATCAAAAACTGCATGAGTATCCTTTCGAGGTGGAACTGCTATAGTTCTCTGAAACTTCACCAACAGTCGCTACTACCGAAAAGTGTGTTCACCATTCGTCACAAATCGCGGGCTGGAGGCACATGCGAGTACATCACCCAAAAACTACATCACCCAAAAACTCAATGCGAATACAGCCCTTTCGCCGGACGCTCCGCTGAAAGCCCGTCTTCAGCGAGACACGACGCTTCGCACGACACGACAGTTCAGCCTGGCGGCGGGGGACCGGCGCCCGCTGCGGAGCACGTAGTCTGTCATGGACTCGAAGCAGGCCTAGCAGGCTAAATGTTCGGTATCTCCAAGCTCTTGTTGTTTTCCTCGCCAAAAGGACAGAGTCTGCAGGCTGCTTGGCAAAGTGACACCTTCCACACTCTGGTTAGAGATTGACCTTCGGCTATGCGTTAAGTCAAAACCATAGCCAAAGGTCAAAGTCTGCAAGCTACTTGGCACCATCTACACCATCCAAGCTCTGGTTGAAGTCCTGCCCTGCAGGCTGCTTGGCAAGGTAACACCTTACAAGCTCTGGTTGAACCAACCAAGCCCAAAGTCTGCAAGGAATCTGCCTTTTGACCCACAAGTTTGATTCAAGTAGAAGACTCAATGTGAGAACGGTCAACGTTACATTTGGTGTGGTCCTCTTAAGGGCATGAGGCAGTTGCTGAGTACCACGCGAATACATCGGGATCAGTTGGATTCCTGTATGGATTCCTTTGGATTCACGATGCTTCTCCCACGACGAGAAGCAACGTCCATTGCCATCTGGAAAGTGACTCGCCAACAAAAAGAAGTCGCTGCCGGATGAAATCGGAGACATCCGTTCGATTTGGTTTCTATCTATGAACTCCGTTGGTTTCAACCAGCAACATATGGACCTGGATGAATGCCTATTCGCAAAGAATAATAGACAAGATTTACTCTGGACTGAGCCAATAAGACTTCTCAAATCCGCTGTGACAGCCTCCACACTGGGGGCAGACCCAGCGTCAAGGTGGAGGAAGCCACGGGCAATGAGGTTCAAGCCTGAGAAAAATGTGTCACTGATTCGGTCATTTTGTGATTGCCTCCCATGTACCAAAACCAATCAATGTATGGTTTTATATAAATCTGTCTCTTGGGTAGTCAAAAACATTCAACTACTGGACACGAGTTGCTCCCGTTCCCCAACCTCCACCATCCCCTTCAAGGCCTTTCAGGACCTCATGTGTAAGGGCATGAGTGGAGACGCTTCGTGAAGATTGCCAACGCAGCGCGCTTCACCGAAGGGGCAACAAAGCATGTTGGTGTTGCTTCAGAATCGTGCGTTTCCCGACAGGAATTATTACTTATATTACATGAGGAAAACTTTGAACTCCTGTTTTGCCTGGAGTGACGTTTACCAAGACTCTCTACTTGGGCAATCACACCTCTGACTTTTGATGGCGATACATTAATCACATTCTCCGTTGTTGTGACCCTCCAGAAGTAAACGTCCCCACAAGTGAAAGCCATAAAAAAAATAAAAATCTACATAGAAATAAAACACATCGTATAGAAACTTTTAGAAATCGTTCAAACCGTCTTTTCCATACACAAACGAACCAAACCGAAGCATGAACAAGAAAAACAAACAAACAAACTGCGACTCGTTTGGGGCCCACTGCCGTTGATCCGGAAGGCATCCGCTGGGACCACTGAACCTCGGACCAAACAGAAGAACGAAGGAATGAATAGGTGACAAATGTACTCATTCTACACCACTGGGAACCATTGGAAATAAATAACGCATGTTTGTTAATGTGTGTCCTTTGCATAAAATACATTTGCTTTGTTTACATAAATACCGCTTTTGGCATCCAAGAACGGTGAATTAAATCGCTTTGGATGGATGGCCATCGGTTGAACTTTGAACTGCCAGCCACGGTACCGTCCTGGCAGGTGTAGGAGAACATCACCTCCTTCCTGGCGCAACCGACCGGTTCCACTACGCTGGACCCCTAGGCATTTCCCAAGTATATATATGAGCCACGGTCAAAATCAATTATTTATGCTAAGGATGCTTTCTATCGTTATCGATTTTGGGGGAGACCTTATCGGTTTTCAGCTTTTTGTTCAGCCAGATGCTTTTGGCATTGCATTTACATTGTGGTTGCATGAAGCGGAGCTACCTACTCGCTGAAATCAGAAGCAGTGGATGACGAGCTTGTTCACAGCTCGCTTGTCAGCAGCGGACAAAGGCATTGCAATCTCGAGGGGTTTGTGAAATTTGGTGTACCTGTCTCTATCTTAATATTTATCGGCCTTCATGTAAAGTACTAACATGTAAGTTCTCAAAAAGAAAGGCTAGACCAATGTCTTCAATAGGGAATTTAGCTGTCTTGTCAGCAGGCTCTGGGCAAGTGGCTATGAAAGCTGAAAACATATCCAAACGGTTATCGGCGAGTTATCGGTTTCGTTATCGGCATAGTGCCCACATAGAATCCGGATTTTTCAAGAGATGGCTGCAGATTATAAAAAGAAAGACAAACAGCAACAAAATTATTGATTCCGTATCATATGGCTGAAGCCGCCCACTAGGGTACTGTCAGTGGGGTTTTCATTCGACATGCAACAGGTACTGCAAGGATCTGTCAGGAATGATAATGAATACCATCATACATAGGTTATCGGTGTTGGGGGAGACCTTATCGGTTTCCAATACATCCTCACCCTAAGCCATTCACATCGACCTCTCCTGACTAAAGTAGTCTACACTTATTTTGATCCCACCTCATATATACATATATATATGAAACTATATAGCATTTACATGCATTTACTGATGAGTTGGGGTGATTAATTTCAGGGCTCAATGGGGTGGCATCTATCCCAGTGCCCTCAAACGTGTCTGGGTGTTGGTTGCTCCGCGGAAACCAATGGAAGATGAGGCTGCGAGGCTTGCAAGCGGGTTCTTTTGCGCTTTGTGTTGTAAGTTGTAGCGGGATTATTTATTTTGTTTGCAAGCTACCAAGGCTACACCCACATCTCAATTAGTTTGTAGTTTGAGACGCCCTGGCAGCTGGTCCGAAATTTATGTGTTTAAACTCCAACATCACAGGCAACTCATTCCTTTTCAGCCTGGTGGACCCCTCCAAGTGCTCAAGGTTTCTCTATATATCTATATATTATGTAATATTATAAATGGGAGTTGATCTAAATTCCTTTATCCGGGATCCGTCATTTTCGCCAAACAAAAATTTACTTTCGCCAAACTTTCGCCTTCCTGCGTTTTATCTTTCGCCGAAGTACGTTGTATTTATGTGTGCCATGTATGTTGTGTTTTGTTCACGTCAATGGCTTCTTCTTTACTGGCAAACACAAAATAGAAACTTCACTGTTTGTCAGCATGTGTCTTCTACTTAACTGTTGACACCCTGTACGTCTCTTTTGTTTCTCCTGGGTGTCAGCAAGAATCAAAATTGCAAGAATCACTGTAGTAGCCGGTCACTCAAACTTACTCATAATGGGCTGGGGGTCAGATGTGGCAGGGTGAACTTTCGCCAATCTTGAGCTGAACTTTCGCCAAACTTTCGCCTTTTGCGGGGTAGAGTTTTGTGGCAAAGCCACCCCCCAAAGCAGGAGCAGGAATAGTAGTAGTAGTGAGTAGAAGAAGTAGAAGTAGTAGTAGTAGTAGTACTAGTCGTAGTGGTAGTGGTAGTGGTAGTGGTAGTCGTAGTAGTAGTAGTAGCAGCCGCAGCAGCAGCAGGTTATCTAACTTCCACAGCTCATCTAGCTTCTGAGTCACTGCCACCAGCTGTTCAGAAAGCAAATGAACATTCATACAAAAGTACATATTTAATCTTTCGCCAGATCTTTCGCCAAAAAAAAAATACTCTCGCCAACTCGAGAAGAAACTTTCGCCAAATGAGATTTTGATATGTTCCGGGTCATCGTCATACACACTGCTGACTAGGACCTTTAGATCGACAACCATATATGTCGTTGTTTCTTTCATTATTTTTCTCCAACTGTCCACCATGTCCAGCAAGACAGTCGTCTGAAACTGCCCCAAATCAAGGACCTCCTTGCCATCAAAGGACCGTCGGGTCCCGTGTTTCAGTGGTTTTGGGGTCACATCCTCTCATTTGCAAGCCAACACTCTCACATGTGATTCCTTTACCACCACCTCCGGTTGAGCAAAATGGTGTTTGACCCATCCGACCGATCCCCGATGGACGGGTCAAACCTCAAAATAACTACAGATTCCAAGCGGGTCCTTTATAGTCCTTTCAGTCCAGGTCGACCTCTGAACTTTCAGTGGAAAAACGGGATTCTCCTCAGCTAAACTTTGAAGAAGGCATAGGCAACCGGAGACTGACCAACTAATCAACCCAATTTTCTCTAGGGGAAGTTCATGCTTAAGAAGTGGAGAGGTTAACCCCAGGTGGTCCTTCAGTAGATGATCCGACGAGGTCCCAGTGGGTGAAAAAGGGCTTCTGCCTCAGCTTGGGCGTACGCTCATCATGGCCATCCAGCAAGCGCGGCAGCCACTGCGCCAGCGTGGGCGGCAAGGCGTCCACGGCCTCGTGGTGTCCGCGACCAAACCAGCCTGGGTGAGATGCTGAGATGGGGATGGATGTGAGATCCAGTGAGTCCTGGCCTCAAAAACTCTTTGCAGCCAAGGTGGGAAAAGCTTTTGGTGAACATCGTGGCAAGACTCGACTGGATTGGTTGAGTAAATGCGTGGAAAACATCACCCTTGAAAACACGAGGGGATGTTGAGGAACATGAAACATTAAACCGCTGTGGGGTCGATAGTTGTCATGAGATGTTCAGACCGGCACCATTTCAATGCTCCTTACAATCCCTCTAAACCAGGGCCTTCCTCTTGCATAGGAAGCCTTGTGGCAGCTAGTTCTCTGGAACTGGCGAAGTAAGGTTCCCAACATCTGCAGCTGGACGACCTGAAGACCGGCCCCCTAGCAGCGATGCCCTTGCTCCGTTCGTAGTACGGCCAGGGTCGCCCCGTTCGGTTTCTTCTTCCGAGATCGCTCCCTTCGTGACACCAGGCTGGACAGTCTCAGCCAGCCGAGGTAGCTGGCCAACCAAGGGCACAAGGAACAGCAGTTGATCACAATGGTTTGGCACAGGGATCACGGACCCACGTACTGAAGGTACGACTGGATCCTCACTTGGCCCATCCAATAGGGTCTCCCTGCTCACCCTCTCAGAGGGTATGTGGATCCATAGGGGTTGATGTCCGTCAGTCCGCCGGATGTGCCATAGTAGGATGTTGATGTAGGTGCTTCTCTTGACTATTGTAGGACTGATACAGTAGGGATTCACCTGGAGTCAAGGTTTTCGCTCACTTTTTGCCTCCACATCTTCCCGATATCCATCCGTCCATCCATCCGTCCGTCCGTCCATCCATCCATCCATCCGTCCGTCCATCCTTCACTCCTCCCAGTGGCGGTAGGCGATCATGGTGTTTTGGAAATTCCGCGGTGCCAGCGACCGAACCCGCAGCGTCCGCTGCAACTCCACGGCGGCCTTCTCGAAGAGGCGCTGGTGCCGAAGCCGCTGCCGAGAGAAGCACCAGACCAAGGTGCAAAGCCTTAGGCTTCGGAAAACCAACGGTCACATGGCTGTGGTTCAAAACGTAGAGACCTGAACCCTGGTAGCATTGGCCTCCAACCAATCGCATGCGATGGCCTCCACATCTCTTGTTTCCTTGCGTCCACCGATGCGTGGTTGATAGGTTTCCCAAAACCTGAACATATAAGTAGGAGCGCGTCTGAGCGTCCTCAGAATCTTACATAGTTTCTTGGATACGCACATCCAAAAGAAGGAGTCCTCTCGTACAGGTCAATGTGTCAACCGATGGACTGGGACTACAATGAACTTCTGAAATCTGAAAGAAACACGCATAAGAGTGAACAGCGCTCTGCTTGGCATTCCACTAGAGTCTTCAGTATCGCCGGAGGGGCCAATTCGATTTGCGATAAGACCAAAACGACACACGATAAAGATGATAAAGCACGTCTTCAGTCTCGCTGGCGCAACTGACCGTTTTTGCCCCCCCGGAGCCCCGATGCGATCTGTCCAGGTGACCCGCATCGGTCCTGAGTGTCGTTGAGATCGGCTGGGTGATGTTTTGGTCCGGGCCCAGTGATCACCAAATAGATCAAATAGACATGTAAATGTCCCACTAGAAATGTATACTAGTGATATAAGACTCCCTAAGACACTGTGGAACAACTTAGAGCTTGTGGTTGTTGTTCACTTTCATCTGTGACTCAAAGCAAAGGTTTGTGCAGCAAATGCCTAGGCAGCAGGGCTTTCTTCTCCCAAGTTACAAGGTAAACATGTTCCGCTTGAAATCACTCCGAATCGAAGCGAAACGAATCCGCCTAAGTGCGGACGGAAGGGTCCAAGGACGGAAGGAGGCCGTTGCAAAAATGATCCGCAGCCTTGTTAAAGAAGTCATGCGCTTGCACCCCTGCCCGGGTGAAGGTCCACAACAAATACACCAAGTTGATGGGGTGTATTCGTTCCAATCGCTGGCTGGCCAAGTGCGCCACCTCCATGAAGAAACCCTCATGGGCAAACATCTTGCTGTCATCTGCCCCTGGTCCAAAGTAGCCGCGCTTCTCCTCGCGGCGGTCCTTGGAGCCACGCTCCTTGATGAAAAACCAGAAGGTGTTGTACTGGAAGTCGTGCCAAGATAGAACCTTCGGTGGGCTGGAATTCACTTGTGTTTACTCAAACCACGACGGTTAGAGCAAGGAACCACTCTCCCGGCTGTTTCACCAATAGAGCAAGGAACCCGGAAACACTTCGTGTGAAGATGCGGCACGTCAACTCTTTTAAAATCCTATGTCCTATGACACCCGTGCTCAAAATCCCAGTGCTCAAAACTCATGTCTCACAAGGATCGGCCTGTCTCAACAATTCTTCGCTGTCGGACTGTGTCCACCACAAGTCCCGCTATCTAGTGACGTGTCTCAACCGCCACAGGACATTTTCTGAAGGGGGCCCTATTCACAGTGAAGTATTCGAGGCAAAAACAATCACAAGTTCTCTCCTGGACCTGTAAAAAAGTTATTGTTCACCCCAAGTCGTCGGTCGACCCTGGGGATGAAGGTCTCATACTCCCAGACGGCGCGCCGCGCCAGGAGGGCGTCCGTGAACTCCAACCGTTGGAGCTCCTCCGGATCCTGCAACTTGCTGCGGAGCTCCGGCACCGAGAGAGAGGCAATGGGACCTTTGGCTCGCAGAGGTGCCGTGGGCACGAGGTGGATGGATGGCCATATGGAAAGGGAGGGCCAAGTGGGCCTCATTGGAGTACATTTACACCTACCGGTCTTGAAGGTGCAGTCTTTCCTCCAGTTCTGAGTGAAAGGCTGAGTGAACCAAAACGCTATGCTCTCCGCCCGCACGCCGAAAACGACGCTCTTTGCAGGGGAGAATCGCCCAGTTGGACTCGCGGAGGGGGGGAGAGGTTCCGATTCCGGTGGGTCTCCCTAGGGCTCCAGTCGTACCTCCTTAGAAGGTATTTGAAGCCTCCAAACCCACCCCAGTCCCACCGAACCTCAGAAGGTACGACTGGAGCCCTAGGGATAAAGGATTCTAAACATGAGTATATCATAGTATATCCATATTTTTCTCCCTAACTGGGTCTCAAACAAATCAAACACTTTCACACAGTGTCACATGTCTCCCCTTTGGGTGGCTTTGCGTCCAGCCTTGAAGCTCCAACGGCTCCAAGGGCTCCAGTACTTTGGCCTCCTCCGTGCTTGGAGCCTCGAAGACGGTCTCGTCGGAGAGGGAGTGATACCAGTAGGGCAGCAGGTTCACTTGAGGATGTGACCTCCTCCTCCAGCGTCGAGTTCAAGAAGATCATCCAAAGAATCTAGTAAAAGGTGCGTACTGAAACATACTGGCTCCCCTAACTCGAACGGTGCTTTCGAACGGGCACGATACAATGAGACTACCCCAACATCGGGATCAATGCAAATCAAAACAACATGTTTTTTGATGTTATTTGGAGTACCACCCGTGTGGCCAAATTCAACCAAGCGTCTCAATCCATTCTCCGACCTGCCTTGGCTCTTTGAACCATTTCCAATATTCCTCAAACTCCTCCTGCGATCCCCCATCTTTGCTCATGGCAGGCAGCTTCGCTGTGGAGTGCAAGCGCCGGTGACTTCGGCGACCCTTGGGGAGTCCTCGCGACTTGGGCGCCAGAGCGGTGTTCCCAGAAGGTCCATCGCTCCAAAGCGAGAGCTTCTTTCGGAGGACAACACAGGGAGCCAAGGACGCCGCACGAAACCAACGGCCCAGGAAGGGGCGCGGCCTGACCATCGGAGACAGACATAGCAGAATGTACCGGAAAGTGTGTGATGACATATCTGTCTTGCTGCAAGAGAGGGAAAACATGTTCTTGTCTGCTCCATGGAAAACTCTGGAGTGTCCGCAAGCATCATGGGCAGTAATTCATTGAACGTCACAGCTGCTGACATACTATCTACATACTTGGCGACTATGGCACAAAGTGTATGTAAACAACTCCTTTCTACTTTTTACGGTATATGTATTTTTGCTGGCTCGACTTGGGCCGATGGTCTCGCCATTATCATACACTCATTCAAGAGCATTTGGCTATTGGAGCACAGCATATCTTCTTGATATTTGCAAAACCCACCCACATGAAGAGGTTCTTCAATCCACACGCGGGGAATATTCATAAACATTCATGAAACGTCCGGATTTGGATGGATTTTGGTGTATCCAAAGTAGTGCAGCGACTCCGCAACCACACCCCATCGCCGCCACCTGGGCTCGAAGGGTGCTCGCGGTGCTCCCGTGAGGAGCGGTGCTCTGCCCAGTCCCAGCGCCCACGCGGTCCGCGCGCGGTGTACGGTCGCGAGCTGGCCATTTGGTGCGAACATGGCGGTCCGGTCGAATGCTTCCAATCGGAACTGCGAACTGAGAAATGCACTGGCTGAAAAAGAACACCAACATGGCTTTCGTGGTATTCCGTATTCCTACCATGCTTCCACAGAGCTGTTGACCAGTGGGAGGTACACAAGGGATCCAAAAGAAACACGGTGCAATAGTCTGATGGCCCCTTGAAATGGTGTGATTCGTCACACTCACTTGGACTTGGGGGAAGCCATAGACAGTGAGATCCATGACCAAACTGGATATCCTTAGTTGACTAAACAAACTGGAGTGGTGTCTTTTCAGGCAAAAGGCAAAATACCAGCATATCCAAATGACAGTGCGTTGCGTAAATGGAAGTTCCAATTCTATCGCAATGATCCAACATATTCAAAATAACACAACACTTATATAATATATATATATATATGTTACGTGTGTATAATTCGATATGTTGTGGTGACACAGTTTAAGCATGTTCACCCTATGATATCCGATGATTTTGTTCAATCGTTTTCAACTCCCCACAGTGGACAGTCCTAAGTCTTTCCACGCTGATCCTTGGCGATTCGCGTGTGTTCAATCGAAACTCCCCAAACCTTCCAAGAGATAGTGATAGTGATAGTCTAATCTATATGGGGAAGTCCATAGGGAGAGTGTGTGTCCAGTTCCTACTGGGGTACCAATGGGATAGTCTATTATAGGTTTCTTCAATCTCTGTTGGTTTGGGTGCATGTGTGTCAATCTTCTATGCACTGCTGTCGTACAGCGACTGCGCAATCAAGAGCATGTCCAGAACGGGTGTTTGGAGCTGTTTAGCTGGTGCTTCTCGGCTTTCTTGTGATGTCAACTTGTGCAAAAACGCTCGGGCCAAAAGGAACATACCCAAAGGCGAGGATGCTGCAGCTGGAAGACTCTTGGAACTCAAACCCTGCTGTATACAAACCCTTTCATGCAAGGCTTGTGCCAAGCCAACCTCCAGCACAAACTCTCCGTCCTTCTTATCAAATGGCAAACCTCAAAGACCTGACCCCAAAGCCAAGAAAACGCCATTCTAGAAATCCAAATCAGTCTAGAGTGGGCAGCAAGTCATTGACAAATCCTTCTCACGTGAAAACTCCCGTCTGCCAATAGATATACTAAACATGACTAAAATGAGACATCATTCTATGACAAATATAATTAGACTGTGGAGAGAGCGGCTGGCAAAGACCGCACCTCTCACAGCGGTTGGACCGAGTCGTACGGATACCCAGTCGAGTTGCCATTCCCCGACGTGGTCAGTGGGTCGGTCTCAAGGCTGGGTCGGTCGCCATCCCGCAACGGGCCCGGCAGGCGATCACTGAGGTCGTCATGATGCTTCCCATCCCAAAACCTCCATCATCGGTGCGCATCATTTGGAACATGCAATTCATTCTTTCAGAGCTGGTGACCGTATGTTCTCAAGTCAGAGCTGAATGGACGAGTCCAGCTCCAAATCACTCGGACCACGCGAGTTGGTGTTGGTCGCTTGTTGGTGCAACTCCAGTGCGAACATGCTCAAAATGATGGCCTCGCGAACGCATCGCCAGGGCTCCGCGTGGAACTTGCGTCGTTCCCTTTCTTTTTTCTGGTCCATCCCAAGCGCCTGTACCCCAAGCCCGGGCTTGGGAAGTAGGTCAAGGGGCATGAGGAGTGACCATCATTGAGCTGGTGACCGAGGAAAACCCGACATGAGGGATGATGCTGGCTTATATTGAAAAACATGATTATTTTCATGATTGATTGAAGGTTCTTCTGTGACGGACATGGGACAAGTATGGAAACGTCAGTAAGCCCAAAATGCCAAGGCCATTCGAGTGGGGAAACAACGCACTTGCACCACACCTGCTATTGTTATATGGACCTATGGTTCATGGCGTCGAATGAACACCGAAGGGGAACTTCTGGCATGACAGTCATCCTGGATCCTCTTCCGCTTCCATATTTGGGTCCTCAGTTCTCGCATGTGCACCTGGAACCTGAGGGTGGTGACGACCTACTTTCACTTAAATGCCTAGGGGGATGTTGACCCATCCTGCTGTTTTGAGTGCTTTCAATCCGGCGAAGGTCCGGAAGTTTTTCAACTGTGGAGGCTAATTCTCAGGCGTGGGGGTACTGCTCATGATTGAAAAGCGGTTTGTGATTGGTGCCATGTCTCGGATTGTTCCAACGGCGGGGGTTTGTAATAAATCGATCTATACAGTCACAAAATAATATATATAATATCGGAAATGAAATGCACCCAGCGGACATTGTTGTGTACCTCTAGATGAATGTACATGGCAGCCCTGATGGCTCCCATGCGACTTGGCTTTGAAGTAAGTCTGGATTTAACACATTGGATGGCTAAACCAACTTCCCCGAAACCATGCGTGGTAGTCATGCATGGTAGAATTTGGTCGATTAATATCCGAGGACGCAGTTATGACCAATACACCTTCTGTTTTCAAAGGGCAACAGCGTACTATATAATCTGTGCTCACTCCCCACACTCCTTTGGTCCTTGGCTGCTGTCGCGCAGATTCTGCGCAGTTGTAGACCATCTAAGACGGGTCAAGCAACCCAGGCGTTGCTCATACCAGTGGCTATGCCTTAAGTCAACATGCATGGGATTGCTATCCAAGCTAGCTACAGGCTGAGGATGACAAAAAGCATTCATGATCAATGGAATGTGCTTTTTGGATAACCCCATGCACTCCTTTGGCTTCGCACCATGATTCGTTTCGAATCCCCACAGCTTCCAAATGCAAAGTCATTGAAACCACACTCAAATACCATTTCAGTTCGTGATCTCCGAGAGAACTCCTTGTGTAACAGATCCCATCAAACCATTTGGTCATCCATCTCCTTTTGGTCTTTGGGTTTCGAGGGTTCTGCTATGTTCCGCAGACTACACTTGCTGTTCCAATGGTTTTGATTGAGACTGTGACAACTGGCCATGTCCAGGCAGAAGCTGTGTCTTCGTGCACCGGCATGTGCTGCTCAGGCACTTGCCTGAACGCCCTTCCTGTGCTGAGTCGTGTGGTGGGTGCACAGAAATGACCAATAGCTTAAAAAATGCCGGCGTGTCACGCAGCGAAAGGAGCGAAGCTACGAGCATCAACAGCAAAAATACATGGAGAAGGAAATGGTTGGGTACGTCCGAACGTTGGAGCGCTGTTGTTTCCCAAAAAGGATGCATGGTTGGAGAGTCTGACAAGGGAGACACATGCTGCGATCCACTTAGTAATCCACGTGCTTCTTGCTGCGATCTGTTTCCCTCAAGGTTTGCTCCATTGCAGAAAGCTTGCACCTGCGACGACGACGGCAACCCAAAAAGTACCGACTTGGGCCGACTTGGTATCCCAAACTCACCAAAGTCGATGGGTCGAACCGTGGAAAAACCGTTCGTTCGAACCTTCCCAACAAGTGAAAGAGGTCCACCGTCCACGAATGACAACGAACAGATCAGCCGGATCACCCCTGTTCACAAGACACCCCTTCCTGTTTGTGTGAACACCCCTTCCTTTGGCAACTGGTGGACATGCTTTCAGTATCCATGCTTGAAAGCATGGTCTCTCGTTGCCAGCTTCACCGCATCATTCACACAATTAGTCAAAACATGTCAAAACACGTTAAACACACACAAAAAAGAACACATGTACCCTTCCACGATGGAGAAGTAGTCCGAGGTACCCCTGAATTAGTTTAAACTTAAACATATTTAAACAATGAATCAGACTACCTCTATAACAATTAATCTGGAGGAAAATAAGTCTAGATTAAAATTCCAAGGTAGGAGGAGGAGGGGGCGAACTTAATCGAGGGACCCCCAAGTATTCTACATCGCTCTGACATTTCTGAGCACAAAGCACTTGCAAACATGTTGATTAATTCTAGGCACTGATGGTTTTGTTAAGGCGTTCTTTTAGCTTTTAGTTTTGTTTCTTGTGCCATTGGCCATATCAAGCATTCATTTGAGCAGTCTCAGAATATATCAGGAAGTACTCCAAGGAGGGTGCACATTCAAGGCACATTCTGCATCACCTCATGATTCATATTCCATTATCTCCACGACTCAAAATTGATCCACAGTACTCTCAACCACCAAATCTGATGGCTGGATTAAGTTCTAAACTTAACAACTAACAACAGTTATACACTGCTATATTATACAGAATTATGGCCCGAATCCTAACATCGAACATTACAGCAATCCCCAAAAA